CTCCATCTACTGGAGGATACGTAGCAGAAGCAGGTGTAAACAAAGCGCTGCCTGGTGACTGAGACGGAATCCCGTGGATTTGAGCGGGAGGCGTCTTTGGCGGGGAGTGCATAGTATCAAGTGACAACCTCGCTCTGGCAGCGCCGTCACCAGCCATCATCAAAGGTGGTGGGCGACGGCGAATCTCCTGAGCTTGGCTGTAAGTAGACATTGTCGAAGCAATACTTGAAGCTGATAAATTCCTGCTATGGCCACGACTATGTCCTCCCTGACTACCCACTGTACCAGCACGGTTTCTACCTGGCGGTCTGACACGGTCGGTACGGATTTGGCGCTGAAACCGTGTTCCCGTAGCAGCAAGGGAGTCTCCAGGTATATCTTCGTTCACATGGACTGTCTGGGCATGCTGTCGTAGATTGTCAAGGCGTGAGAAGCGCCGTGAACAATGGCACTGAAAGGGACGTTCTCCGGTATGTTTCCTATATCGTTCCGCATTAGCTGTCATGGTAAGATATATGGGGATTATTCAGAACAGACCTTATATGGCGGGCTAGGTGTTCGCTTCTCGTGAAACTTAGTGTACACGGGGGGAAATCTGTACAGAAGAAACGTTGGCCCTTCTTCTTTTTCGACGGAGGAGTGCTCTCGCCGATATCTGTGCCATTTTCAGAACCTCCATCCGGATCTGCATCAGACTCTACCGCAGTGTTGTCTTCAGGCACCGAAGACCGAACGGAAGAACCCTCTCGGCTATGCGTTCGGCCAGGGCTGGCTGTGGAGGCAGCATTCGAGATTCGAGGGCTGCTAATACATCGCTTCTCAGATTTCCCATTGACAGTTCCATATCCACCATCTCCTTCATTATCTGCAGCTCCGCTTGGTGACGAGGCGTGAGGCTGAGTTGGTGACGTTTTCGACGGATCAAGGAGAAGTGAGGAGGAGTTGTTGGAGCTGCCCATTGTAGCATCCATAATTACTGGTGTGGAGGCAGGAACAGAGTTCACGGGAAGAAAAGACATCCCGGTGCAGTCCGTCCCGATGGGTTGGATAGTAGCTCCCCACAACGGAAAACCGCAGTCCACCACAAATTTTTATTTGGATTTTGTTAGTTGTTAGTTCCGAGGGATTATTCACCTGCCTAGGGTCGTGGATGGCCGG